ATGGCAGGACAACTCATAATTTGTGGAGAACAGTAGTCACCTTTTGCCATGGGCAGGTAGAATCACATTATCAACAACAGAACTCACAACAACTTCCAAAAAGAGAATATACATGCAAAAACCAGAAAGCCGAGGTTTTTTCTTTTTCTTTTCATTTCAAAAGGACGGAATAATTTGAAAAGGTAGAAACAATGGGTAGCACAGAGACTAAACCAATGTAAATCAAAATACAAAACACATTCCGAAAATCTTATTATAAAGAATGCATCACCTTTATGTGTGTTTAACATTATATTGCTCTTCATCATGTATAAGACCTTAAGGTCACTCAACTCAATGTTCAAAAGTAAGAAATAAAGGTTGATTTTTTGTCAGCATAGTCTATAACATCAGTAAAGAAAAGGATGGAAGGTATGTGAAAAGATCTTACACTTGTGTTATCTGTCGGCTCTCATGATTTCCTCTAAGAATCGTGATTCTATCTCTATACCGGACTTTCAAGGCCACTAACAGCGTGACAGTCTCAACCGAGTAATACCCACGATCTGCACATATGTAGAGAAGGTTCTAAGAAATGCTAGCTCCCATAAATAAAAATTCGCAAATAACTGCAATATTATTAGAGTAACAGGATAAAAAGAACTGATTTCTCCCCTCAACCATCTAAAACCTTAGATGAGGTAGCTACAGCTTAAGACATAAAATTGACACACATAATAGCTAGTATTTCTTAATCATAGCAAACATCCCATGACAAGCTAAACAATTCCAACCTTAGCGCAATAAAAGTTTAGTCTCACAGAGCGGAAATAATACAACTCCCCAGGGGTAAGGAACTAATAGAGCACAGTGGCCATCTCGGTCCAAGCTGGTAAGCTCAAACACCAATCCCGCCCTAAATTCTCAGCAGTTTTAATCATCCAAGGAACAAAACAAACAGTAAATTTATCACAAACGTAGTAACACGATAATAGATCATGAAAGCATTGGAATTATTACAATTTAAATATAATAATCCAGCAATTTATCAACATATGAAGATTAAAAATAACCTAACCAATCCCTCTTAATTTTTCAAGCCCAGCCAGGAGGGATCCGTACCTACAGATCTGATCACATAACATTTCATTGACTAATTCACACAAAAATTTCACATGATATAACATGAGATATTCCAAAACAAAAGAAAAATAACAAGCAAAAAGCAAACCGCACATTCAGCTACAGAGACTAGAAAATTCACCAAATATTTTTTATAAAAAAAAAGGAAGAAAAAGAAGAATAAAGAAAAACCTTCACTTCCTTGCTCTTAACTCAATCACATCAATTTTCAAAAAATCATGCAAAAAAAAAAAAGGAGAATCAAATCAAGAAGCAAAGTAAGTGACTGACCTACATAGTCCCCCATGAAGAGATAATTAGTATCAGGCGCATTGCCTCCTATCCGAAACAGCTCTATTAGATCATAAAACTGTCCGTGAATATCACCACATACCGTTACCGGACACTTCACCGGCTGCACGTTCCATTCCTCCACGAGTATGGCTCGTGCCTGCTCGCACAACGCCTTCACCTCCGCCTCCGAAAGCGGCTTACACTCCATCAGATGCTCGATCTGACGGTCTAGGTCTCCCTGTGACGGCATCCTCTCTCCTCCTCCACCGTCCGATCACCTGATCCCCCCGTCCCCCTTCCCCTTTCACCACTGACAGTACGGTCAAGAAAATGAATAACTAACAACCGGTCGGATCGGTTAATTTCGATCCGTGAAGGGTAGGGGATTAGGATCGTAACGCGGCGTTTTGGAGATTAGGCTTTTGCTATGGATTCGTTTTCGATCTATCTACCTATCATGACTCTCCCAGAGACGAAGAATTTAAAACTTTTTATTTTCATCGGAGAGATGATGCCCTGCTATCAAATTTAGGTTTTCCTTTTAATAAATGATTTCTTTTTTTTTTTTATTTCTTTTGTCGTAGAAAGGGAAATGCTTAAGACAGGAGGAGAAGAGAGAGATCAGTGTGAAATGAAATTCAAATGCAAAGCAAATGAAATGGCGAAATTTAGACCTCTTACTAATTTTTGGTTGAAATTTGAAATTCTTTTTAGCAATAATTTTAAATTTGAATTAAATAAATAATTGATAAATATTTGTTGTGGTGTTCGTCAACATTAAAATACCAGGGAGCCAAAGCTTTTCTTTTTTCTCTCTCCGGTGGCTCCGCCGAGTCAAAATCATAAAGTGATACGACACGTGTCCGTTCGTTGCTAATCCTTTGAACTCCTTTTATTTAATTGTTGGTTGTCCCGCTTAAGTTAGCAACCTTTGCAATTGGCTCCTCTTTCTTTCCTTTGTTTTTTTTGAATTTCAAAATAAGAAGGTAATTAATTGTCAACTAATGATTAGTCAAGGAAAGCTTATCAACAAGAAAATAAATATAGTCCAGGAATCTATTTGTGATTTCATTCTTTTCGTTGCAACAACAAAATAGTCAAATTTGTGAATATTGCTAGGTCAAATAAAGCACAAGAAGATTGATCCGGTTTTTGAATTGAGATTTCACCTTTAGAAAGGTATGCTATAATTTGTCCGTAGTTTATTATTATTATTATTATTATAAGTAGATATTAATGAGAATGTCTTAATCTCCAACTAATATTCTCTCGGGGCTGAGGCTAGGGCTTGGGCTATCACCTTAGGCTCGTAAGTCCGGCTCCATTCTGGTCGGAGTTGCACATAATAAAACTACAGGCTTGAGACGGGTCATCTGATCTAGTTTGAAAAGATAATAAATTTTATTTTTAAAATGTATTTTAAATTGTTATATAAAAGTAAATGTATTAGATTGAGTTCGAGTTTTGCTTTTAAAAAAAAAAGCTTGAAAAACCCCATCAAATTTGAATTTAACTTAAAATAAAAATTTCAAAATAAACGTTCTCGTGACGATATGCATTTATCTTTTCACTAAGGATTAAATATGTACCAACATATTATATATAACATTTCAAAAATTTATAATTCGTGATATTTAAACTTTTATACTTTTTACCTTCAACCCAACTTTTTAATAAATATAAAATTAATTTTTTTATATAATTTTTAATTATTTAAGTTGTTATTTGAGTTATTTAATTAGTAGTTAAAAGATATGAGCAATTAATTAGTGTATAATGTTATATTATGGATAATATTTTGTGATTTTATTTAAATTTTAATAGAGTTGAGGTACTTTTTTAACTAAACGGATTTGGATTGAGTATCTAAAAAAGAATGAATACCCTATCCGTTTACATTTCAACTTTGTACTTGATTAACTTTCAATATGTTGGAGGGAATTACACTAATACATTTTTATCAATAATTTTGTAGGTATCTAAACTATTCATTACCTAAATAGAAAGTTATAATTATTAGTACTGCCGATTGGTAGAAATGAAGTGCTGTGCCATTATTCTGTTAATTGAATTGATTGTGTGGAGACTCATGAATCTAGTTTGCTAATGGACTCTTTTCATGTTTGGTATCTTTGTCCATACTCCCACCTGCTTGTTAATAGGCTTGAGCACATCTAAAAGATGATCATGCCTTTATACTGCCATGAGATGCCATCCAAAAAATGAACATTAAGTGGATCGATTTCAGATAAATTTAGGGTTCAAATTCTTCACAAAACCATACCTAATATTATCCCTTGAACTATCTTCGGATTATTGGAGACAAGGAAAGAGTAGGGGAATTTAATGCATACATTATTTTCTTTTTTTAGATATTTTCAAAAAATGGGAAGCCAAATGAAACCAAGAAGAGGAATCACATTTCCATTTTCTTCAGCATGGAGCTAGAATAAATTGAGATAGACTTTAGCAACCTTAGGTTTGGCTTGACTTAAAATTCTATCCTTTCTTCTTAATTGAAAAATGTTCAAGAAAACTTAAACCCTTTCTTAAGCTCGAAACATAACGATTTTATTTATTAAGATATGAATATAAATATGAAATAGTAATTAGTAAATTAAGTAATATACTTCCATTATTATATAATATGATGAAATTGATAAAAATATTAAGGCACAATATGTAAAATGTTTTAGAATTATTTAAAAAATTTAAATAAATCTTTAATCTTTTATTATAATCAATCAAATCATTATATTTTTATCTTAGGTCAAATAATGACTGACTGATTGTTATTAGTCAAAACACTACTTATCATTTTATTCTTTAAATTGATATATATTAACATGTCACAATGGATATTTATGATTACAAGGTATTTTCGCCTTACATGTTAGTTTCACGTTACATAAAAAATAATAAGTGACATTTTGACTAATTACTATTAATCAATCATCAGCTTTAAAAAGTCTATTAGATTTTAAAAAAGAGTACAAAAACTTGATTGAATGTAATAAAAGAATAAAAATTTATCTAAAATTTTTTAAATTCATGCTTTATATGTTGAGACTAATAATTTATCCATGCTTGAGCCAATACAATATATCACCCCAACTTAAAACGGAATTTATAACAAGAGAATTTTCTCTTCAACTTAACACTTTCCTAAATACGTTGTTATTCATTTTCTTTCTCAATTTGTACATGGCATTAACGTTACTATGGAATCTTTTTTTTTTTGTTTGGCTATTGTAGAATGGTTTTGAAATGTATTAGTTAGATAATTTGCTAGCCAGACTAGGTCCATGATATTGACAAACGAAAAAAAAGTAACAAAAGCGAATAAAACAAAGCCTAAAACATATAATTTTCCACTATGATTTGAGCGTTGAATATGTCCAACCTCATAAAGAATATGGTTATGTTCTTGAATTTCATAAAATTCTTACAAGGTAAGACCATACAAAACTAGAAGAAAGAATAAAGCACGTGAGTAAATAATAGGAAGAGCCCATTTTAAAATTGGGCTCAGTTCAGTCCATAGATGTGGTAATACCATTATGCAGTCTTTCAATTCTTCCTAGACTTGACAGTGAATGTGGGAGCTGGTTTGTGTTATTGATTGGCGACTCCCTCACATGCAAAATGCAGGCAAAAGCTTCACCGGCTTGCATCTCCTTTTGCTTTTTGCCCTTTTTAGTAAATGCCTCAATTTGAATCTATCTTACTTTAGACCACTTCTTAGAGCAAACAACAAAAGATGGAGACTGAATAATAAAAAGGTTAAATTTTGCGTGGAGAGAGCAGAGCAGCCCTCTTTTGATTTTTGGTTGGCTTTGATGAGAATATATAGCGACTATATGTATGTATATGTTTATCTCATTCTTTTTCTCTCTCTCTTTTGTGTTCTCCTTGGATTGCCACGATCGAGATATAAGAATCTCATGCATGTTTACTAAGTTTGAATGGACACAAAGACCAAAACAGTCCCAGCTCCCACACCCAAGAATCCAGAGAAAAAGACTAACACACAAAGATGTAAAACAACTTTTTCTTTTATGAGCTTACACCTTTAATTGGTGGATTCACTTTAGTTTTGGAACTCATGCCCAGTGCGCACCTTTTCTAGAATAAAACTCAAAGCTTTGACAAGTACAGTAAACAAACCCAAGCACCCAAAGCCAAAGAACCATTGATTGACAGGTAGACGGATTTTGGATTTTGGTACACGTCCTGTCATACATGCATGGCTGCAAAGAACATATTTCCCCACTTCCAAATTCTCACCTACTGTTCTTTATCTCTCCCCCTTCTCCCTCACTCCCTCTCACTTGTTTGGTTTTTTACCATGCAAAGATTGAACTCCACATCTGCTGCTCACGTTTTTCTTCTCCCACACAATTAACGAACTAATTATAATATATTTTCTTTAAGAAAAAAGATAGAGACACTTAAAGTTGATATAGAAAAGGCTAGCTATCTGCTTAATATCTCTCTCCCTAGATGCTTTTGATGGTGAAGCATATTTTGTAGTATGAAACAAGCTTCCATTTGTTTACTCCTCTCCCAGCACGTCTCTCCATAACAATTCTTGTTTGTTAAAAAAAAAAAAAATACATGCAGGCTTAATTGGATATTCAAATATTTTCAGTATTTAAAGTCCCACTTCCAAAAAAAAAAAATACATACAAGATACGGCAGATACGCTGGCCTTTGTGGTCATCTCTTGCACTTTGGCTGAAGCTTCCCATACTTTGATGCCTAAGCTTGTCCAGGCGGTCGTCTCGAGTTGCCAGTTCTCCTGTGAAGAAGGAAAAGACTAATTAATGGATAATGATGTATAGGATCACAAATCAAGCATCTAATTAAGTGGTAAATATATATAATTACTTAACCAGCTTTGTTACTTGAAAAAAATTTACGTACGCCAAAATGGCAATTCATTGTATGCTTAGGAGTTGCTAGGTCAGCTTTTACTGATTTGGTAATCAGCTACATCACAGCCAAGTTCGAAAAAGAGAAAAAAAAAAGGTTTATTGCAGATTTTCATTACAACTAATGAAAAGGAGAGAAAGAAAAGACCAAAGAAAAAGTCACCATACAAAAAAGTAATTAAAGGCTTTGTAAATGCAGTATGCTAATGATAATTAGGTTTGGATAAGCAAGATTAAGAGATGGAATAAAGCGAAGAGACCGGCTTTATTTCCTTTTCTTTTTAATGGCGATTAAAACATAATGGACCACATGTACAAAAGGACTCAATGTAACAGTTAAAAGCATATATACATATACATATTTATATATATATATAAGCCTCCAAGATTTCATAAAAATTCTTTTTTTTGTAAAATATTAAGGAAGAAGCCATCTTTTTTATGCGTTTAAACACTCAAATTTAAGGGCAAATGTGTACACATAATACCCGATATATAATAATACATGTAACACGTTCTCCAAATTGCAGAAAAGATTACAAATTACTAAAATGATTTTGGTCTTAAAGTTGTTTGTAACTGGAATGAAAACTTTAGCATGAAAAAATATTTACAACTAATTAAAACACTTCCTGAAGACTTCACAGAAAGAAAAAAAAAAAACAAAGCGAAAAAGGAAGGAAGAAAACCAAATTAGCTATATATATATATTTATATATTTAGTCTAATTATTCTTTCCCATGGCTATTCAAAAGAAAAATTATTCTTTCCCATAATATTAGAAAACAAAAAGATATATATATATATATATATATTTATGCAAACCATGTATATTATTCGGATAAACTGATAATAAATTTCAACCAGGTTGTCACATACAATAGCATATAATTTATGTTGGCCAGATAATGAAAATGTACAGTATATAAAGTCACACCTGTTATGAATAGGATCTGGTCCATTAGGAACTCTTCTTTTGCTCATGTAGTTGAGATCCAGCTGCGGGTGCCCATCACTCAACAACTTTCCTCTAGCTAATACCTTCACATGCTCCTGCCGCTTTCCCGTCGATGATGATGGCTCAGTTGTTAACGTCGTCTTTGTTTTGTTCCCTTCACTTTGCAGTGTCCCAACTAACAAAACTAAGATAAACCCCAATACTACGAGTGTTCCAAACAGGGCTTTAGAGAACAAAGAACTACTACTACTGCTACCACCGCCCATGATTAATTATTTTCCTTTATATATATTTCCTATATTTAATTTCTAGGACATAGAGGGCGGAGGGAGGGAAAAAAAGAGTTTTAAAGGGAGATTATTATCGTTAAATGATGATTGGAATACGGTTTATAAGAGGAAGGAAGGAAAGAAGAAAAGAAGATAAAGAGAGAGGGTGGGTTAAGGCAAGAATTTTTTGTTTTTTAGGTGATGAGGCAGTTGTTTTTTTTACTTCATGGTTGGTATTCTTTATAGAGAGGGGGTGGAGTACGCCGATTCTGTTTTCACTTTCTCCAAGAGAGAGAGAGAGAGAGGACACAGCTGGTTTCGAACGTGACATGGAGGGAACCCCTTTGCTTTATACGCTGATCTTCTTTTGCTTTGAGTTTGGGCATTTTCATGCACTTAAATACCAAAAGACGACCTGCCTTACCTACGAGAAGAAGAAAGCATTATACTTTAGATACTCCATGGAGTTGGAAGTGATGTATACGGCTCTAAAGATTTGAGGCATAACTTCTTTATAACTTAGGCTGCAATTGATACTTTTTAGAAGATTAATCATATTCTAGTGTTTTGTATGACAGAAAAGTAAGAGATTCAATACACCGTAATAAAAATTATATATATATATATATATGTACGATGAATGAAAAACACGAAGAGAAATCGTTATTATCTCCCTTCTTTGATAAATAACTAGAGAAACAACTTACATTTCCTATACCCTATAAACCTATCCTTTTCTATAAGAAGAAAACATACTCGATTCATTATTCATTTTATTTTACCCACATGTTTTGGTATATGACTTTATATATATA